TTTTTTTTTTTTGGTTTGTTTGTTTGTTTAACCCTGCTACATCTTAATAATTCAAGGGCCATTTACTTTTTATATATAATAGTTTACATTATGGACTTTTAATTAAAGCCTGAGCAATTCGGAGTGCAGCGCAACGCCCACATCGTACAGGGTACAAGCAGAAAGAGATTTACTGCTCCCGAGGTTGCTTCCATGTCCTGAATTAGTGGGGACGGGGAGGGGGGAGCAGGAATATACATTATTAAAAGTATGAACTATTACATTGATTGCCTAGAAGAGTGTCCCCCTCTCCTTTTCAAAGCCTTTTTTTCCCTTTTTTTTTTCCTTTCTTTTCAGCCCGCTTAGGAGCACACCTGTTATTAAGGCATTAACTTCTTTAGCAGGGAAGAGAACAAAGAGGGGCACAGAGGACAGAGCAAATGTTGGGTTTCAGTTCTCAACACGAAAGTGGGATATACAAAAAACCCCAAACAAACAAACAAAAATTACCGCTGAATGTGCGGTCAGCACAGCAAAATCATCTCCCAAAGAGAAGAGGTGTCATAAGAGCAATTTATTGCAGAATTACGACAGGTTCCGTTTTAGGGTAAATTCTGGGTTTCAGAGAAAAGGAGGACCTGTGGGTTTCTTGGTTTTATTGTTTTATTTTTCTTATTATTATTTAGGGTTTGGGTTTTTCCGGGTTATTGCATATTTGGGGAGTTGTCACATTTTTTCCCTGATAAGGAAAACATCTTTACACCAAAGCAATGATTTTCTTCCCTATTATTTTAACTTTATCTTTGCTACACGGAGAGGCTGAGCTTCTCCGCATCCAGCCCTTATCTCCGTCTCTCTCTCTGTTCAGCAGAGACGTTCAAGATGGAATATGATTTAGGAGAAAATTACATCTCCCAAAAATGTGACGGAACAATATTTTCTGGAGATCTTTCCTTTCATTTTCTTTGAATACCCACTCAAACGAGCGCATACACACACACACAGCGGTTCCTTATGTTGCGTGTTTGTGCACGGCTGTGTCTCTCTCTCATAATCAATAGGCTACATACCTAAAGGGCACAAAATAAAATTACAAAGTCTTCCCTCCTTTCCCTGAGCAGCTCCCAAAGAGGGATGATGAGCAAATCCTGCAGCCTGCTGGCGTGCACCTCGACGGCACAGAACTGGAGGTAAATATGAAACGCCATCTTTCTCTTTCTTTTTTTTTATTTTCCCTCCTTATCTCACCTTATCTCTGGAGTCGATGGTTGTGCACAGGCTTTATGTGTGTGCGTGCACTCCGCTCGCTCCATCAGCAACGTGGGTTAGTTGTTGTAGTTAATGAGAAGACTCCTGTCTGATTTTCTATCTAATTACGCCCTCCTGCTGGGTTTTTGTACAGGATATTCGCTCAGCATGCTGGCAGTTAATAGTCACAGAGAGGATCGTAAAGATTTAATTAGGACTGCATGCGGAAACGTGGAAAAACAACTCAGACTTTTAATTACTAGACTTCTTTAGTTAAAAGTGATACCAGGGGTTACTTTATAAGAGACTTGGGTGTTTTGGCGCAACTTAACTTTCCGTGTCTCTAGCTAGCACGTCGGAGCGGGGACGGCAGTGTGAGGGAGGAGGAGGAGGAGGAGGAGGAGTGGAGGTGTGTGTGCAGGGAGGGGAAAGGTGATGAGTTTCCAGATATACTTCGAAAATCTAGAGAGGAAGATTCCCCTCCCTCCCCTCCTCCAATAATCTGATAGCACTGAGTTTCCTGTATACCATATATATATACACCTTATTTAACAGCTATGGATATATCTGAGAGAAAACCCCAGAGACTGATCTTTTTGTTTCCCTTTAAAGAGTCTAGAGAATCTGGATTTTCCCCTGTATATTTTCTTTATCGTATCTTTTACTAGTAAAACCCTACTTTTGCCAAGCCGTAGGGAAAAACCCCCAGAAACTGGGATTGCAATGGTGTTTTTCAGAGTCCTTATTAGATGATGCAAATTTGTTTTCAATAAGTAGGTCTTGGCTTCCCTGTCTGAGGGCTGTAAATCGCAGATTGGAAATTCCTCTCGAAAGGAGCAGCAATAGCAATACAATACGTCCTGTTTACAATAACAGAGCACTATCGTGTTACAATCACTTAATTCTACTGCTGGACAATGGCTCACACATGGCCTGGATTTGGTGTTTATAAAATAACCACTGTTTCTTTCTGTCACGCACTCTCTCTGTCTCATTTTCCCTTGTCAGCCCAACCCATTCGCATGGCACGTATTTGATCAGGCATGCATTAGCTAAAGCAAAGAGACACATCTTTATCCAACTCCATACCTAGATATCCGTTCAACTTTTTGGACTACTGAAAAAGAAAAAAAAAAACATCTATTTGAGACGCTTCCTGGAAATTCTCTCCAGTGTTAGTGGATAATAAGTATATGTAGCCTAAATAGGAATCCCTGTAGCTAGAACAGATTACTTGAATCTAAAATAAATCCGTACTAAAAATCAGGGTGGAAAACTGCCCAACTTCATCTGTCACTAGTGGGGGGACGAGAATAGAAAACGCTGAACGGTAGGAGCGAGTATTGGTCTGCTTTCCCTCCTGCCTGTGCTAACTTGCAGTTGGACACTTCTTCCTTCACGTGTTTCTCCTTGGGATACCCTCCTCTCCCTCTTCCCCTCCTCCTCCCCAGCCGGAGACCAAACTTTTAGAAATAAAGGGCCTGTTTCATTTCCCGCGGCCTCAGCACCCCAAAACAAGAACCCCAGACCTGATGGCTCACAGCCTCGTCTACCCCGGCCCATCCTCATCCCCAACCCCATCCCCAACCCCATC